AGCGGAAAGATTCTGTTACATGTCTGCTGCATGGAGGTATTTTGCTCCCAATGACTTCTAGCCTTCAGTTTAGCAGCACTGCAAAAATAGTTCTTGGCAGAGGAAATCCTCAGTCATTCTTTTGTGTTGTGTGTGTGATTTTAAAACTGCTTGGATCCAGGAAAGATAAGAGTTAATGAGCATAAAGCTTTGTTATGAAGATGCCAGGTTTGATCCGTGACAGATCTGCAGCAGCTCTGAGTACGTGCTGTGTATAGCAAGTGTTCCTTCAAATGCTGCGATAACGTTCTTATGCACTCCTTTCTACCAAGGAATAGAGCTCACCAACACCTGTACCTTGACTATCTCATTAATCAGCGTAGAATTGGAGTCACATTGGAGAGCAACCGCATGAAGAATGGACAAAATGTCTTGTTGGCTGTCATGCTAAAAAGGAATTTTGTTTTGTAATGGTGAGGGTGGAGGGAAGTGGAATATAACTTCTGTCTCCCAGAGCTCACCAGCTGCATGCTATTTGCCCAGGAGATGTGTTGCTGAATCGGGAAATAATGTATAGTCATTACAATAATTTAAAGTACAAAAGAGTCTCCAGGTACAAAAAAAAAAAAAAAAGAACAAACAACCCACAACAATTAGATTGTGTCTATAAAGATTGGTTTTTTGATATTAGGATGTGTAAAATACAATGTGCTGCTGTAGGGCATGGGTTGGGGAAGATGGTAGGAGAAAAACGATTTACAATAATCATACAGCTGAGAAGACTCTCATGATTTAAAACATTGTGTAGAAGTATTTTTCATTATGGCTTCATTGCCTACAGTTTCAGATAGAAGGTGATGGGGGGCTTCTAGCATGAGCTATTTTTGTCTTAATTCATCAGAGACCGTTCTCCTCTTTGCTCCTGAGTTACAGTCATCCTGGCACTGACTGCAGGATTTTAATTTCAGTACTTCTGTTTATGATTGCCTCTGTGGGCCACTTTATGCTTAAAGTTGTATTGATTCTTTGATGGTACTTCATATTTATCTGCATTTACTGATTTTTTTCTGTATGTTTTCTGTCAGTTTTGCTTAGTCTAGGGGCCATAGTATGTATCTTCTCAGTTGTTACCAGTGAGAGCTTTGCTGTATTTACCAAACAGGTCTTCCAAATGTTTGTAAACCCAGAATTAGACACTGTGTAACAAATAATGTATTGAAAGTAAAATACAATCATTTTAAGTATGGTAAAAGTAACCTTCCTGGTCAGAGCACTTGCCTGTGGTTGGCGCTGTAGCTTTAAATTCCAAGAAAACCAAGGTTGCCACCAACATCCAAAAAATTTAAAATAAAAAAAAAAAAAAAGGTTTATTTTACTTTATGTGATAGATGATATGTAAAAGAGCTGTATTTGCAGAAGGTGGAGAGCTAACGTGACTCATAGCAAAGAGGTCAGAGCTGGGCAGAACGAGCTAGCAGCTGACGTGGGATGAGACAATTGAGGTACTGGAGGCAGGCAGGAAGCGCACTGCGGTTCTGGATCAGGATTTCGGTATGAGTGGGCTGCCTGAGTGCACGCTGTAGGGCCAAGGAATCCTGTTCCAGGATAGGTAAAAAAGTCTCTTACTACCAAATCTCATGTAGGGTCCCAAAACATTAATAAACTTAGATCTAATTACAGAGCTTAGTTGATACCTAGTACTTTGTACATTCAAAGTGTATTACAAATAAGTTATTAAGCCAGTTTTAAAGGTTTTAATGAGGAACGTAGTCAGAAGTGTCATTGTAGGAGTGAAAATCAGCATGTAGTTTGGAGTTTCTTTATATCTGGAGAGCTGCGTGTAAAATCTGTTTCCTCTAGTTCTTCGTCAGAGGAAAAATAGTGTTTTTCTCACAATAGATGGCCTACCCTCATTTCTTTGTCACTAAGAATTTGTTATGGGCTTGCAGGACAGAAAGACAAAGAATGATTCCTTTAAGTGTCATTTGAAGGTGAGAAAGCTCATAAGGGAGATTGTGTTGGAAAGCTTGGAAGGCATTTTACTTGGTGACATGTGTTCTGCTTTATTTTAGCTCATTAAGGTAATTTGTCATGTACAGCTCAGGAGCCTTGGGGTAAATTCCTGCTAGCACACTTCTACTTAAATTTGTGATGTTACATGACAGATTTCTCTTCCCCACTTATTGTCTAATCTTTCTCAGTTTATACTCTACAAAGAATGCTGGCCTGGATTCACTGATGAAGATTCTTATTTGAAGTTTTGATTTCTCCTAGTTGTATACAGATTAACACCCCTGCTCACTTAATTGTTGTGCCATTACTATGTGTTACTGGCTCCTAAATTCTTCCAAGTGGGAATTAAATATTGTGTTGCAACTTTCATGGTTCCAGCACCTTATTTTAGGTTTCAGCATTGTGTCCAGAAAAAGCATTTTGTGCTACTTAAAAATCAGTGCTTTTACCTGTTCCTCATGCCAGAATAGTTTGATAAAGGCTACTCTGGCTGAAGTGACATACTGTCCAGGGAACCTGGGCGATTTAAAATTTTTTTCTGCTATTGCCATGCAGTTCCAGTGGTTCTGAGTTAACATCAGGAATGTTAGTGTAGTTGCTTTGTAACTAACTCTCAAAAAGAATCATTAGATCATCTCTCCTGCATAATGCAGAACATTATATCTGAACCTGCTTGCTTCTGTACTTGGACCTGTATTTGGCTGAAGCACATCTGAATGCATCAAGAGATGGGAAATCCACCTCTCTGGCATTTGTCACACTGATCATTTACCCTAATGTTTAAAATGCATGACTGCCCTGTCTTCTTAATTTGGTTCATTACAGCTTCCAGCCATTGGTTCTTCATATGGCTTTGACTCCTTCACTGAAGAAATTTTCAATACTTACTTCTGTTTTTCTAATCAAAGGTGCATTTCTGTTACATACCCAAGTCACCTCTTGGTCATCTTCTCAGTAGTCAGGTTAACCTTTTTCATTACCTAGGCAAACAGTCTTTCTTCCATTCCCTCAATAATTTTTTTGCTTATTTTCAGTATTCTTTTTTAAAAAGTGGAGATGTAGTCAGGAAACTGTAGTGAAGATGAGATTCTGTAATGCAGATACAGATATCTCTTACCTTCTTTTACTTACCTGGCCTTCTGCACCACGGCTGAGGAAGATATTGAAGAGTGGCAAGCATTCACAGTGAATTAGGGGAAAAACATGTGAAATGTGTTTTCTTTTTTCCACTGCTTACCTCAGAGCGAAAGAACTACTGTAGTGATGCATTCTCTTCTATGGAGATTTCTTAAAGCCCTGTGGGTTGTCATTCTTTCTCCTAAGAAGATTAAAACATTAAAATATTTGTGTAGTTACCACACTAGGTTTTTGAAGGTGAAGTCTGCTGAACACATCTGCTTGTTCAGCACATGCTCATCAAATGTTTGGTACTTTCATTAACTACTTATTTTAGGGAATGGACAATGCTGCTCTGCCCTCTGCTCCCACCTCTATTAAGCCTGCTGGTTATCTCACAGTTAGGACCCCAGCATGTGCAGCACAAAGTCTGAATCTATCTTTAATTAAACAATGTTTTAAGAGTATCACTCATAGAAGCACAGAATAGTTTGGGTTGGAAGGAACCTTTAAGATCACCTAGTTCCAACCCCCTGCTATAAGCAAGGACACCTCCCAGTAGACCAGGTTGCTCAAAGCCTCATCCAGCCTGGCCATGAATGCTTCCAGGGAGGGAGCATCCTCAGCAACGCTGGGCAGCCTGTTCCAGTGTCTCACCACCCTCCCCAGCTTTCCTGTAGGCCCCCTTCAGGTACTGGAAGGCTCCTATAAGGTCTCCCCAGAGCCTTCTCTTCTCTAGCTGAGGAGCCCCCAGCTCTCTCAGCCGTTCCCCTTGGGGGGGCATATTCCAGCTTTCCAGTCATCTTTGTAGCCCTCCTCTGGACTTGCTCCAACAGCTCAATATTCTTCTGGTGTTGGGGCCGCAGAACTGGATGCAGTACTCCAGGTGGGGTCTCACAAGAGCAGAGCAGAGGGAATCACCTCCCTTGAACTGCTGGTCACACTTCTCTTGGTGCAACCCAGGATACATTTGGCCTTTTGGCTGCAGCACGCATTGCAGAACAGATCTAGTGCATCATAAGAGTCCTTATTAGAGAGAAAACAATCTCTGATTTGATCACAGGGTTAAAATTGTCTTCCACTCAGCTACGCATTTTGAGCATCAATTAAATTACTGATGGAACTACTGGTGGATAATAACGGTATACTTGTACTGTTGCTGACATGTCTGGGGTGGAAATGGTTTTAGCAGGGGAATAAACTAGAATGGCTTCCCCACCGTGTCCATTACTGAATCTTTTGAACTCTTTTTCTGTATTGCTGACTGAATGGCCTACTTCTTTGATCTAAAATTAGTGTGTACAGCTTCATTTCTAAAGCATTTCCAAGTATATCCACTTTTGCACCCCTGCCGCTTGCTTTCGTTATACAGTAAGAATGATTTCTCCCTCTAGCAAAGAAGTTACAGGATTTAAAATTATTTTACTGTACACTGATCCCAGGGGAGAATGCCAACAGTTTGTAAGGGGATTTCAGAGGAAAAATTCCTCCTGACTTTTCAAATGGTATTTGTACACTTAAGAGTGTCATTGTGCAGATGAGAAACCAGGACTTAATCTTTGTAGTTCTTGTTTGTCAGTATGCATTTCATAGTGGTGTGTGGGAAAACCCAGGGGAGATATTGGAAAAAAAATAATAATTTTTTTTTTTTGCAAAAAAATTATTTTGATCTCTAAGGAAGCCTGCGTGAGGCACTGCTTTCAGCAACATCAAAATGCAACTGCACATACCAGACTTCTTTATTCATGCTGCCAAAGGAATAATAGGATTACCCTGCTTTGTTTTGCTTTTTCACCCTGGCATTAAATGAACTGAAATTTGATGTGGGAGTCTCTGTAAAATAAGGTCAGTTGAAAAAGAGTTCATTGTACTTTTATTTTTATTCTTCTTAGGTGTTCACAGAAAAGTTCAGGTTTATCCAGAGAACCATGGCAGAGGGTGGATTTGATCCTTGTGAATGCATTTGCTCGCATGAACATGCAATGAGAAGACTGATTAATCTGGTAAGGATAATATGAGAATATTTATATTTGGAAGTGTGATTATATAGACATTGCTTCAGCACTTGCACACTTGCAGTTACTGATGCTTTTGATTTTGCTTATTCAGTTGCATGTTCAGCTAGAATCTCTGTATCTGACTCTCTGATGAATATTTGAGTACTTAATAAAGATTATAGCTTTCTCTTGATTTCCCAGGGCTGCATTTCTACAGCACTGGCATTATTTCTATGTTTCTCTGTAGCTAGAAAAGTCTGCAGAAAAACAAAGAAACAGTCCTGCAAACTCTGAGTTTAGAGTAATACCACACACATGAAATTCTTCATGTGGCAGGATAACAGTGTCTTTATTTTCTGAACTGTGCTTTAAAAACTGAATTTGAGAAGCCAGTGATTGTGAGTACTGAGTTCTGTTTCATGTAATTCCATTTGTGGATGTTCATAAATTTGTTTCTATCCCATTTTCTTCCTTAGGATCTAGATTTCCTTTTAAGTTACTGAGTGCACCAGATAGATACCTATGCTCTCAGGGAGCCTGGGTAGCCTCTTTATTTATTTATTTTATTTATTTTATTTATTTTATTTTTATTTTTTTAGAATTACTCTGCTCAGAGTAGTCAGAGATCACCACAGATGTCCATAACACAGCACTGCAGAACTTGTGCCACCATCTTTTCACTTTGTGCTTCTGGGCCCACATACCAAGAATGCTTTCTCAAAATCACATATAGACCATACTTACAGAATTGCTGGAAACAAACAAAGTAAAACAAGAACAACACAACTGGCCTCTGTCAGTGGGAGGGCTCAGTCACTGATTGCAAGAGAAGGCAAAATCATCCTCTGCAAGGGCAAAAGGAAATGCCAAGCACTTGTTTCACATGACCATGGAAATCCTTGTGCTATGCTTCAAAGCTTGGTTGTCAAACAACTCAAATCTGTGCAGTGTCCTGCTGAACAAAAGCTTAAAATGACACCAGAAAAACAGGGCATATCTGTATAGCTCCTTCCCTGTGCTTCATGGGTCTGATACTATTTCCCTTTGGTAGATTTGAGATAGGGTGCAGCTTATGCTTGCCTGAGACTTACAAGTCATGAGCGGTTGACTCGCTTTCTTATCTCATTACTCAACAGGTGGTAGAATTGTATAGGGGATGTAGGTGCATGGAGTGAAAGGCAAGTATGCCTATTTGCTAGTGTTGGCAGAATCATTCAGGCCAGAAGGGTCTAGGTCAACCATCTGCTCAGAGCAGGGGTTGACAGTGAGTTCAGGGTGGATCATTCAGGGCTTTTATTCTGAATTAGTCTTAAAAGCCTTTGAAGATAGCATTTGACAGCCTCTTGGGGCAACTTTCTCCAAAGTTTTGCAGTCCTTTTGGTAAAGAATTTCTGTTCTGTCCACTGTTTTAGTTTAATGTCTTATACCCTCTGCTATACACTACTGTGAAGAGCTTATCTCTTGTCCTTTCCATAACCCCTTTTATAGATGGTGGAGGCTGCAGTTAGGTTAATACAAAACAGTCTCTTCTCTAGGCTGAATGAGCCCAGCTACCTCAGGCTCCCCTCACAGAGCAGGTGCTCTAGGCCCTGGTGAGCCTCTGCTGAATCCATTTCATTTTATGAACATGTCACATATAGGGGAGTCTGAGATTGGATGCAGGCTGGAAGTGCTGAGTAAAGATGAACAGTTACATCATTCAGTCTGCTTACACAGTTCTGAAAGATCGGTGCAGTTGGCACAAAGTTTTGCTAGTAAGTATGATACTTCTGTGGAGTCCTTGTTCCAGGGCCCAGCCATACTAGCCCATACTTCACAGCTAGGTGGCCCAATTTCGAAATACTCTCAGCTTTCCCAGATGCTCTCATGGCTTCTGATGCAGTGAGGGCACACCACTGAGGCCACAGGATGTTGCTCGGCAGGGGCTGGCCCTGAGAATCTGTTTTTGCTAATTGTTTCTGTGAGAGTATAGCAAATATATTTTCTTTTGGACCATAATAATTCATTTGCTTTTTGTCTCGCTTGTTGAACGGTAGATTAGCTTTTTAATTCCCCTTTGCTCCCTGCTGCCCTCACGTGGACACACATGTTCTGTCCCGGGAATTATTCGTGCCTATTTCTTATCATGAGGTATGTGCTGTGTGCATCACTTGTGTTGACCCTGGCTCCTCTGGACATATGATAAAGTGGTGCAGAGAAGCTCCAGGAAATTGGGAGGGAGAAAGGAGAATGTGTGTTTGCTACTTTATCCGCTGAGGCTTGTCAGTTGCAAATAAGAAACACAAAGTATGACTTTTGTCCCCACTTCTGTATTTCTCACCTTTTCCTTTTTTGCTAGAAGATACCTATAGACAGTGGCACAAGTCAGCCAGTGTTTTGCAGTGGCTGGAGGATTCTAGTTGTAGATGATTTGTCTGTGAGATTTTGTTCCTGGAATACCTCAAGCAGTATAAGGTGGCTGTAAGTGGATGATCTGGAGGCACACTAATTCCTGTGTTATGAATGCACACTGAATAAATCATAGGTGTCACCCTCAGGGCAGTGGTCACCAATACCAGTCTAACAGTGTTCCTGTGTTGCTGCAAGAACTGAATTTATTGCTCAGTGTTCAGTTTCCAATAGGATCATATGAATCAAGATTTGAAACCGTGAGAAGTTGTGGGAAATGCCAGATTTCATCTATCATAATAGGCAAAACAGCTGCTACTGGATGTAGAAGAGCAAATCACTATCTGGGATAAGTCAACAGAATCTAGAAAGGAAAAGTCTGATAACTATGTCAGGGCCAGAGTATCATCCTCAAGTGACCTGTTGCATGATTTAGCGTACTTGCTAAATCTCCATTATTGAATCTGTACACACATACAATTGCACACAGTGTGAGAAAGCAAGAATTCTACTATTTGTTTTAAATGGAATCCTTGTTTATTGTTTTTCAAGGCTGCTGGGCTCTGCAAATCTCAGTGGAGTCTGGGTACCTACTAGCTCTGGAAGTTGGTTCTTCAAGACCATCATACCAAAACCATTGGGATGCAAGAAAGCTAGGCAGTCTGCCTAGTGAGATGGTGGGGGGAATTCAGCCATGCTTTATACCCAGAATGGTTCTTTACTGCTACCTACTAAATTGTTAACTCTTGTTCATAGGTATAAAACACACGAGAGCACATTGGAGTGATTTTATTGTTTGGGAGTACTTGTCAGGACTCAACAGGTAGTTGTAATTATCTCCAGAGCAAGCACTGTAAATTCAGAAGTTCAGAGTTAAGATCAAATATATTAGAAGAACAATGTAGTTATCAGAGTCACTCAAGTATGGAAATGGACTTCTAGAATTCTTCAGTGCGGTAGTGATGTTATACAAAAATAACATGATTGATGTAAAGACTTTAGTAATTCACATTTGGGTTAAAGTTAAGTAATTCTACAGATTGATTTATTTATAACTGTATAGAACGATGCTGATAAGAATTAAGGTTTAGGCTGATGAAGAAGTCACCGTGCATTCACTTATGGCTATTAAATGTAGACTTAAAATATATGTATTCAAATACACAGAATTTTCATTAGAGTTAACTGTATGGAAAATTTCAGTGATAATGTTATGTCATGGTCAGTAGAGGGTCAAAAAGTCTGTTTACATTCTGAAATTCTCCTTTTAACTCCCAAAAGCGTGACTTCTAATTTCTAAGTTAATTGGTGCATTTACTTTGAAACTCTTGTAAAATGTATTTGATATTCCAAGTACTGTAATTTGTGGATGAATACATTGTAATTGTGTACAGATAAAATATAGTTTAGATCTCTACTCTAAATCAGTTCAACTGATTACAATTTATTACATTAATGCTTATTCAAAGAAAAAGCCTTATTGTCATTTAAACTCTACTTCCTCTCTGCTACTGAGTGTGGTTCTGTTTTGTTTCCTTAACAAATAATACTATGAAGGTTTTAAGAACAATAGATTGTGTATCTTTAATGCATGTGACATTTGTAAAGATTTTTCACTGCTTAGAAGGCTAACTGGAAGATACCATTCATACCCGCAGTTCTTATAACTTGTACACTGATGCAACAGTGGCATTGAATTATCTTCTCTTAATTGTTCTGACGTTTTTCCTGAAGTGGATTTTTCAGGATTCTCTTTGGCATTTTGCACATAGTAAACTTCTGTAGCATGGCCCTTGGAAATAATAAGCAGATATGATGATTTCCAAGTTCTCCTAGCAAACAGCAGAGATCTAAAGTCTTTGACTGTGACTTCATAAATATCATCTCCAGTATGTAATATCCATGGTACCATCTGTTGTGATTTGGAGTTGTTTAACGATTTGACTATTGTACATTGGGTTCACTATTTACTCTACAGATATAGCGGATAATTGGGAACTTCCATACAAGGAAATAGGCACAGAAGAAAAATACCACCAGATTTTCCATCCTTTGCAGATATGTAAGAGTTGTTAAGAGACAATAACAGATCTGTCAGCTTGTATGACTTTATCTCCTGTTCTGTCTCCTCCTTCTTCAAAACTTATTTTGACAAGAGCCAAAGTTCAAGAGGGAAGAACAACAGACATTAAAAATACTTTAATGGGGGGGACTCAGTCAAGGGGCCGGTTGTTTGAAAGAACCAAGTGAAGGATTTTCTTTGGTGTCAAGAGGAAATTATTTATGTGTTAGTTGTGGCAGAGGATTGCAATCTTCTGGATTGTAATGATGTTATATTTAAATCTCCATTTTCCCCTGTTTAACATTTTCCCTGCAAAATGAAAATCTTTTCATTTGCACTGTGTTACTCCTTCAGATTTCCATGTTCTCTGAGTAAGCATGGGTGATCCATGATTCTAAGGCCCAGTTCAAGTCTGAAAACTAGACTGAAAGCATAATGTATGTTTTGGGATAATCATGCAGACAGCATCTTCCATGAAGCCTGAGACCTGTGTATGACTACTTAGAGTTGCCAGAAATGTCGGAGTGAGCCGGTGGCACATAACTTTGTATGACAT